TCGGGAACGGCGGCCTTGTTTGCACCTGACTCTCTGGCCCTGGAAGCGTTCTCCTCGATGTAGAATTTCTACTGCGATACGTTGTAAGTGGTGTTTTCCTCTTTACCAAAGTTCTTTACGCGGCGGCTTTGCTTTCTTGTATTTCTTAAATGCTGGAGTCTGACGTTTTCATTTCTTCTTTTCGGTACCGTCGCATGACTTATAGAAGGGCTAGGTTTCTCTTCAGTTCTCTGCTTCTTGGGTTGTGGAACGGGTGACGTTATTTCTGGACCTTCTACTTCTTTTACGCTTGAGTCCTGCAAGAAACTTTTAAGGATTTCAAAATCATTTTGATTATAATATTTTTCACCTGGTCGGGACTTGCTTTACAGATTTCCCCTCTCTCGTTCTTAAGGTACAATACGACTCCCTTGATTTCCTGAATTACATAGGGGGCCTTCAAATTTTGGAGCTAACTTTGCAGTAAAATTAAAATTGTCTGGGGCACTTGATAAAGAAAATTTCCGCTTCAACACTTTATCTCCAACTTTAAAATCTGCTTCACGGCGTTTTCTATCATAGTATAACTTTTTGCCTATTTCTTGCCGTATCCGATCTTTTAACCGCCTGGTCAATAAGTGTTTGCACATCTTTCTGTTTAAATTCTTGCTCTCTTTGTTGCACAAAGAATAATTTATCTAATGGCGTAATTAACTTTCGTCCTAAAAATAATTCTGCTGGGTTTTTCCCGTAGTATCGTGATTTGCCGTTCTTAAAGCACAAGCTAACTCATTTATGTAGCCATCCCAGCGCTTGTGATGTGTGCTAACATAACTTCGAATTATTTTTACAATGTTTTTATTAACTCTTTCTGCTATGTTTGCCTGTGGTCTATACGGAACCATTTTGATATGGCGTATGCCAAGTCCAGTGCAAATATTTGGCTAACGAATTGTTTACCGTTATCGCTAATGACTTTTATCGGTGCACCGTATTTTAAAATGTATCTGTGTAAGAATGCATCTGCGACTGTTTTGGCTGACGCGCGTTTAAGTGGAACAATTTCTGTCCATTTTGAAAAATGATCTACAATTACTAAAAGAAAACGATTTTTATTTAACTCACTCTGGGGGAAAGGACCAAGAAGATCTATGCCTAAAATTTCATTCGGAAATGTAGCGCGAATGCTATTTAAGTACCCGGCCGGGCTGTAATTAATATCATTTATTAACTGACATTTATTGCAGGACCTGACATACGCAGTTACTATTTTGTATAATTGCGGGAAATATACCGCCTCGCGTACCCTTTTTAAAGTCTTTCTGACCCCTAAATGACCCGCTGTTTTCGCGTCGTGTAATTCCTTCAAAATGCTTAATCGAAGCGAGGCTGGGATGACTGGTTTGTACTTCGAGATTTTCGTTTGTTGTTTTCGTATAAAATAATAAATTATCTATTATTTCATAGTTTTCTGCTCTATTTCTTATCGCATCGATATCTGTGTGTTCAAAGCTTTCGGGGTCTTTCAAATATGCATAGAGACTTCCAAATTCAGGATCAGCTTTCAATTCAGCAATAATAATTGTATCTCTAGAATCTAAAATTTTTGAAGTCAACACAGCGCATTTAAGTTCATTGCCTTCATCGTCCAGTTTTATACGAGAAAGTGCGTCAGCTACATTGTTTTCCTTACCCGGTTTATATTTAATTATGAGATTATATTCTTGGAGTTTTAAAGCCCATCTTATTAACCTGGGCGTTAGGTTTTTCCCCGAGTAAAGTCTACCAACAGCCGCATGATTCCGAAAAGACTGTTACTGGCGCTTTGCCGAAATAAACTCGAAATTTGTGTACAGCCATTAATACGGCTAATGTTTCTCTCTCTCTGTAGCTGTATAATTCCTTTGTGTATGATTCAACGTTTTACTAAAAAATGCCAAAGGATGGCCATTTTGCATAAGAACCGCACCCACAGTCCGACGCATCTGCTGCAATTTCCAGGTTTTCGTCCCCCTCCGGGAATTTCAAAACAGGGGCATTGATGAAGCGCTTCTTTTAACCTTTCGAATGCGGTATTTGCTTCTGCTGTCCACGTGAATTTACTTTTCTTTTCTTTTAATTACTAACAAGGGTTCAACAATATTAGCAAAATCTTTTATGAATGGCCGATAATAAGAACATAACCCAAGGAAAGAAGAAAGAAATTTTCTTGGCGGTGTTGGGAGGTGGGGAAATTCTTGATTGCTTTTATTTTTGAATCTTGAGTTTCTATACCCTTTTGCGAAATTTTATAACCCAGATATTTAAGTTCTTTAGTTGCGAACTTGCATTTTGAGGCGTTAATTGTAAGACCGGCCTCTTTTAATAATTTAAAAACTTCTTCTAGATCTTTAATATGTTGTTCCAACGTACTACTCGTTTATAATTATATCATCTAGATAGATTAAAGTCGATTTTCCTAGGACAGGCTTTAGAACAATGTCCATAGCTCTCTGGAATGTTGATGGGGCCCCACACAACCCAAAGGGCATGCGTAAAAAATGCATAAGTGCCCGATTTTGTTATAAACGCGGTTTTATGTATGTCTTCGGGTCTCATAGCTATTTGATAGTAGCCAGACGTTAAGTCCAAAGTAGTCATGTATCTTGTAGATTTAATCTTTCTAATAATTTCCTCTATAACCGGCAAAGGGTAAACTGGGAATTTAGTAATACTATTAAGTTTTCTGTAATCGATAGCAAACCTCCAAGCCCTTTTATCCGAAGGAGGAAACTCGTTCTTTTTCCTACATAGTACGACTGGACTCGCGTACTCACTATTTATGGGCGTTATTATTTTGTTCTTTAACATTTCCTGAATATGTTCTTCTATGATTTGGTCTTTTGTTTATCATAGCGGTATAAGGTTTAGTCCTACAGGGTTTGTCGGCAGTTAACTGTATCTCATGCGTAACTATTTGACAGCTACCAGGCCGTTCTGAAAACAAGTTTGAAAAAGTACTCACCACTTGCTGGATGGCTTGACTTTCATGGTCATTCAAATGGCTAAGGTCAACTTGCGGTTGTTCCACCACCCTCCGATCCATCTCCAGCACGATAGAACTTTCCTGAAAATTCAGTTTGGCCTTCGCGGCTTTTAAAAACTCCATACCTAAAATAAGTGGATTAATGCAATTTTTTACTACAAAAAAATTAATACTTTAAGGCTTTCGTTTTGAACCTGTATTTTTAAAGATAGTTTTCCAATACAATGACAAGTTTGTCCTTGCGCTGCTATGATTTCTGTGTTTTTATTTTTAAATAATCGAAACCTATTAAAATTCTTCTTAAAAAAATATCACTCATAAAATTACCTTCTGCTCCTGTATCGATGAGGGCTTCTACTGGTACATCGCCAACCAGGACTTGTATAATTGGTAACTGTGAGTTCTTTACGATGACCGTATTTAAGTGTCTTCTTGAGGGTTTTTTCAAAACTTAAGGGGTCTGGACCCTCGCTTTCACAGGCCCCTCTACTCGTTTAAAGCTTTCCTTTCAACTTCTGCCTTCTGGGTACGCGGACGGCTGTTTTTCAAATTTCCTTTTTGGGCCTTGACCTTTGAGGAGTTAGCTTGATAGCTCTTTCCCCCAAAAATGCAATGATTAAAACTTAAGAAAAAAAAAGTTTCTAAAAGTAATTTTTTAAATTTGTTCCATGGGTACAATACCTTGTTGTTATTAGCAAATTTTAAAAAAACACCATCTCATTTTTCTTTGTATCATTTCAAAGTGTTGTTTTTTTAAGATACTTTCAGAGTGGTACGTATGTTCATAAAAATGACCCAGCCCATTTATTAATTTCCTTGACAGTAAAATCTTTACCAAGGTAACTTAATGGATCACTTTCTATGATATCCAAACTGTTATTTCTAAATTTCTAACAAAGCACAGAGGTGGATTAGATATTTGCTTTTTATGTAACTTAAACCACACTTCTGTGCAGTTATATTAGATTTCACTTTCAGACTCAAGTGTGGATTCCTCAGTCTCCAAACTTGAAAGAAATTTTTCATCTTAGAATATTTTTGAAGAATAGCAAGTTTCAAACAGACCTTTGCTAGAAACTATTACAGCTCTATGTATATGTGTGTTCTATAGCACTCCATGTTACAACTTTTCAGTTGATTTCAAGTGGTCACTTGTATGGGGATGCTCTGCAGTACAAATTAGAGCAGCTTATTTTCTGTATTCTGTATGTTAAACATTTAAAGATACCAATCTGAATTCAGGTGAACATAGCATGAATCTAGAAGAAGGTTAATCTCTAAAAGAAGAAACTTTTGTTTGATAACTGCTCTGTTTTAAAAAATGTTGAATTAAGTAAGAGTAATGTGAAAATGACATAACTTAAAAAAAATAGTTCTGAAACATTTTTATGAATTTTACATATAAAGTATTATTATACTTTTTAGCTTATGCTTATGCTAAAAAAGTATAAATATTTCATTAATTTAAATTTATACTCTGTGGACTCAAATAAAGTCTCCCCCCCCCTCTAAATGCTCCCAATTCTCCTGCTTGAGACTTCCACTGAATTCTGCATCTTACTCAAAGCCGCAGTAACTAGAAGCTTACATCTGTTAAAGAGCGAATAAAGTGCTCTCAACCACATGATATATAAAGCTGCAAACTGTATAGAGAAAATAATTAAAGTGCTATGTATGATAAAATAGAAACATTTAGCATTTAATAAAGCAACATGCCACAGCATGTTTCTTTAGCCACATGTTGATAAAATATCATAGCACATAGAATAAATAAAAATGCTTTTGTTGCAAATCCCCTTATGGTTAGTCACTTATAATAGATATTATATTCTAATGTAATATCTATATTAAAAATGGAAGCATAGTATAAAAATACAATATTCATTTTAATTTTTTTTAAATATATTTTTCTGTTAGCTGTGCAATATTATTTTATAAAGCATGTTATTTCTTTAAAACATTTTTAAGTAAAATGAAATAACAACTATACAATGTATTAGCATTCAATAAAGCATTAGCATTTATTAATGATTACATATTAAACAAATAAAATATTGGAAAAATTAGAAAAATTCTTCCAGTATCAGTTTTAATATTAGGAAGTAGAGAAGCTACATTTTTATTGAAAGTGATGACTTCACATGATACATATTTTATGTTCTGATACAGAAACATACTTAGGCAATTTTGTAGCAATTTTTACACAAAACACATACATGCACACTAATAAAACTCTGAATAATGTGCAAACAAAATTCATAAAATATTGAAACAACTAATAAGTCAGCAAGATGTTGCAAAATAAAACAAAAAAACTCCCTATTTATTTTTAAGACTATTTTGACTCAATTATTTTTAAATAATTCAAAATATTGTTTATAAAAATAACAAAACATTTAATAAAAGTACATAAAAAAAAATTAACCCGCATACATTCACTTAAGGGGGGGGAGAGTTAGGATTAATACCACAATCTTACATGTATAAAAAAAGGTTCTGTATATTTTTCGAGTTCTTTTTCCGGGGGGGGGGGGACTTCTGTATAAGCAGAATGAACTCCCAACTATTTTGTCTTTTCCCCATAAAAGTAGCAGACAATTTCAGGAATAAAAACTCAAGCCTAAATCTTATGAAGACAGAAAATTCTCCATACCTTTACAATAACTATCATGTGTACTTGGGGGGGGGGGTACCTCAATCATTAGTGCCAGATCATTTTTTAGTTTTGATTTCCTCTTTCAGAATAAATATTACTACTTATAATGCAGTGGTTATTTTTGCAACTGTAGATACCTTTGACATACTCTTATTTTTTTTGGCTTACAAAAGATTTACTGCTATAAATGCTGCTGTTTCTGTGATTATAGACTCTTTCTTATTTAATGCATCTAGACTACTTTTTCATTCACATTAAGTATTACTGCTACCTTTTTAATGAATCCATTTTGAGATGCAGTGCAAGTCATGTACAGTGAAACGTTAGTTCATGAATGTAATTCATTCTTGAAGGCTTGTTGTAATCCACAATTTTTGTAATCTGAAACTATTTTTTCCCATAGGAATTAATGTAAAATGGAATAATCACTTTTTGGATTACAGATGATTGCTTATTTAGACTTTACAACATTTTGTGCAGAAGTTCATGACACAAAATCAATGGAAATAATTAAATTTAAAGGAAAGGCGGGGTGAACTAACACAATAATAAACAAATAAAATAAGATAAAAATTTAATTTTACAACACTACATAAAGGAAAGTGGATGGAATAAGAGAAAGCTCTGAAAAAGAGAAAGGGAGCAGACGTTATAGCAGAATGGAGTACTCTTTCATAAAATCACTAGGTTTCTGACACAACTTCCTGCACCTTTTCTTTGTCTCTTAGCACCACTTAACTATGCTTCACACTTAATGCGACTTCATTTTAATCAAAATTTGTCCAATGTAATTTGTTGTCTACATTTAAAATGTATTTAAAAGTGAGACATGGAGCTCTCATTGAAAATGCTTATGCTACAGCTTGCTCTTGCTTTATCAAGAAGATATCATTACATGAAAATTTCTCACAACTTTTTGCACAGATTTCAGGGATCAAAGAATTAAAATCCTCAACCCATCCTTTGTTTTCCTCTGAAGACATTTCTTCCACAGTTTTCTCTTGTTGCTGCTTCTGATGCTGCTCTAGTTTGTCTTCATTCAGCTTACTTTTATAATCTAGTAATTCCTACATGTCTCCACTGTGACTTCCAATGCCTATAAACACAAAATAAAAAAATAAAAAAAGTATCCTCTTGAAGATATCAAAGCCATTTTCTGCAGCATAATTTCAATAATTCCTGCAATGGCCATAATTTCCTCCAGGTGCAATTCTTCATCCTAAAAATCATTTACTGCCAATCTTTGTTAAAGAACAGAAAATATTAAATTGATATTTCCAGAAATGTATGGATGTAAATTTTGTGTCAGAAGTTGCTTCAAAACACATTTGAAGACCATTTGCTGCCAACTTAAGTTTTGTAACTTGAAACAGCATTCATCAACTGAAATATCTTCTGTTCAGATAATTTGTTCAAGACGAGAGACATTTATGATCTAATGTCATGCTGTATATTAATGGGTTTATTATCATATCAGTAGAATACATAAATTTTTCTTCCATTAATATGCATATATGCTGCATCTATAATTTTAAGTACTACTTTAGGAAAAAGTGTGGAGCTTATACATGCAAGAATATGGTATACCAAAGGTTTCTCTCTCTCTCTGTATATAATTTTCTTCACACATTAAAATTTTACATGTGATCAATTTATAGATATAAAAATAAGCACATTATTTTGCAAATGTCTGATTTCATTTCCCAAACCATATACAGTCAAAAGTCGTTAATTCGGACACCCATAATCCAGAAAGATCTATAATCCGGACTTCAAAGCTAAAGTCTTTCTGCGCATGCGCCGCGTTGACGCATGCTCATAGGCGTTTTACGCGTGCGCGTAAGACATTTACGACTGCGCATATGCGTCTGCACAAGCGCAGAATAGCGTTTCGCGTGCGCGTTTAATGTATAAACGGACGGTATAAGCTAAAATATCTAATTATCTATTTCAGTTAATGTTGATGATTGCGTTGTTCCTTAATCTTCGAATTGGATCCGGGCTTATTATTTTTTGCAGACTGTAAGAGCAATTTTATAAAAGTAAGCTTGAACTTTCGATTATGTCAAAATAGAATTTCCGATGCTGGAGCTCCCAAAGGATCTACAAAACGAAAGTATGTTTCGATGTCCATCAAACAAAAAATGGAATTGCTGCAAAAAATGGATAAAGGCTATATCCTTTGTTATCTAACCGCTTCCGAAAATCTGTATTATCAATTTCACGTGCTCTGTGCGGGGGGGGGGGGGGTCGCGGCGTGCAATGAACTGGAAGTTAATCTGTCAGCACTATCGTTATCTTCAGAGGCAGATGTTTTTATTTTCGGCTTATAATTCCTTACTAAATGTAGTATTTAATCTCGATGTACTCTGTCTTTGATATGATTTAAATCAAATTCCTCTCATTATAAATATCACGATATCATACAATCAAATAGTTTTCTGGTTGCAATTTCTAATTTCGACTATGCGCAAGGTATGCTTGACGCATGCGCGCATTGAAAGAAATGTTTAATAAAGTAAACAAATAAATATTAAGCTTTTTTTTTGTAAATTTTGATACCCTTTAGATCATAACTGCTCTTATTTTATAAATTATGGTTTCCTATTTTTAATTTTATAATTTCTGCATGCCATCTTACCAGATTTAAACTGATGATCTATAATCCGGAAAAATCGATAATCCAGAATCGCCGAAGTCCCGACGAGTCCAGATTAAAGACTTTTGACTGTATTAATGTAATGCTTTGCATAAATATAATGTATATTTTAAAAGGCAATTTGGATTACATCCATTGACAAATAATGTGGAATGAAAACATTTTGTTCTTAACCACAACAAAGCATATTTACTTTAAGGCATCAATACTCTTTTGAATACTGAAAATTATTATATCACAGTTAATTACTGACATGGGGGGGGACAACCACATACACAATTAGAAGTACAATTTGATAGCAGCTTACTTTTGAACATTTTTTTAAGTAATAAAAAACCTGAACGAAGCAGAAATTGACTAGAAAAATAACAGATCAAAAACATTTCTTAAAATAACAAATCAGAATAGTAATTGACAATTTTAATATAAAATTCAATCACAGCATAATATATTTATAATATTTGTTTTTTAATCACTATTTTAATAATTCTTTTCTGATTAATGCACACTCCAAGCAATTGTATAAACAGTTGTTCTTAATGTTCCAAAACTGAGTAAATGACACTTTTTTTTTTTTTTTAATAATGTTGCAACTGTATAACCTGCAATGGTATAACAATTCAACTTTCTCTTATAACAGTCATCAGAAGATTAGTCATTTGAATGTTCGGCATTTTGATCATCAATTAACTGTAAGTATAATAAAAAAATAAAATTAATTTTGTAGTAAAAAGACTTTCTTTTCAAGCTTACATTTTTTTGAAAGTTTTTAAAATATTTATTAAAGAATTTAACTAGAACATAAGAGGACATTACATATACAACAATTAAAAAAATCACAGTAGATTAACCTTTAAATTGTCAAGTTATTTTGATGATTTGGATACATAAATTGACAATTTTTTTTTATTGCAAAGATCAAATGTTTGCCGCGCAATCAAAAAATTTTTAAAATGCCGCACACTTTGAACATAAACCTCTATCCTTTGGAAACTTCAGTAAATTGCTACCATCTATTGAATTGAAGCAGAAATAAACTTCTCACGATATATATTCGGATATAGCAATATGATACACTGAAAAAAAATTACCCAAAGTAATACTCGGCCCTAACATTTTGGAACACCAGTGCTGTGCCCAAGATTATTTCGGCACGACAGTTAAAATGTTAAGAAAATTATTCTAATTCAAATTTTAGAATTAAAAATTTAATCTTAAATTGGTTTTAATTCAAAATAAATATACGTTTTTAAAAGTTAACACTATAATTTACACTGTTTTAAAACATACATCAGCACATAATTCAATTAGTTTATCCCAAAATTTTTCTATGCCTCTAGCTTGGACCAAAATCATTGATTCCTGATGTTTCCTGATTTTCCAAACAATTGACAACATCTTTCATATCATGGTCAGATCAAAAATCAGACCAAAATGAACCATTTTCATTTTAATAATGTAATTAGGAAATAAATGAAAAAATTTTTTAAATACAAAGAATTACATAAAAAGAACTATTTAAAATTTCCTGCAAAAAAGATTGATTTAGAAATATTGCCCTCTTTGTCTATAGCATGCTATACCCTTACTTTTCTTGCAAATTATCCTGAAGTGCACACAGAGAGGGTTAAGGAATATTGATACTACTTCGCATCATCAATAAGATTAGAATCAAACATAAAATATGACTCACCATTTATGATGAGTTTCTGTCTACTTCTGAATGGAAATAATGGCTCATAAATTTTAAGGAAATTTCTTTTTCTCAAATTTCTTGATTATCCTTCTTTTTATTATTTTGTATTTAAGAGCTGTATTTTAGATATAAAATTTCAAAAACAGATCTTTAATTTAATGAACTATTGATTTTTATATCTTCAGTTTTTGAGAAATTAGATGAACAAAAATCTTCTCAATGAATTTGATTAAACTATTTTCATAATTTGTTTCTTTGTTTTTCACATTCCTTTCCTAAAATTCTGATTGATGTCAACAGGACTGTGATATTCATGTTATACTCATTGTCTTTTATTAAATGAAATGTCCTTTGTTCTAATTCTTAATTGAAACTGCTATTACTTTGAAAGAAATGAAGTGTTGTTACCAACTTGAACAATTTGCAGATTTGTCATTATTAGCTCACAATGCTCTCACCTTATCTCTCTCTCATATTAGTTATGATACTCTTTATACATAAAAAAAAACATATAATTTTGGATTAATTATTTTTTAAATGTATTAAATTTTATAAAATACACAATGAAATTGCAGAAACATTACTGCAGCAGGATGCACCCTTACTAGCAAATGAATCTCAGATTTTTAATTGACTAACTGGATTTGTCGACTGCTATATAACAAAAGCATATAAAAGCTTACCTATCAAAAAGCAAATATCAAAACGAATGTCAAATTTATGTGGTAATGACTTAATTAATTTTAATAGCATTTTCTCGGAGTTACCTTTCATTTACAAGGGTGAATTTAGATTATGAAAAGTATTTAATTTAAATTTTAAAATGCTGCAATGATCAGCATAGTGGTCAGCAATGCTGGCTACTGTATCAAATGTTAACATATGACTTAAAGCCAAAATGGTGATTTTTTTTGTTTTGTTGTTGTTTTAGAAATAAATTACCAATATTTGCTGTTCCATTCATTGATGACTGAGGGATTGTCATCATAATGTAAGACTTCAGTTGTATCATCTTTATTTTCTCCTTAAAAAAATTTTCTTTTTAAGGAGGAAATATACAGTTTGCCAAATCCCATCAGGGAAAAGTAAAATTTATTATTATATTTCAGTTTTAATACCACTTTAGGCGTTTTAGCAAAAATTTTGAAAAAAATCTTTTGTGCTTTCTTTCGGAGCTGAAAACAAATCAGGTCAGCTCCCAAGATTTGCTGGCTTCCATACTACAAAAGCAGATAAGTAGGTTTGTCTTTAATTCTCTATAATCTTTCTAACTATATTCTCCAAAACAGAATTTTTCTGTCCTGCCCTTTAAATAGAACACAGTGTTGTAAAATATGTTGTTAGATGAAGCAAGGAATAATTTAGATACATAAGGATAAGAACACTGATTTGTTTAATAACATTTTACTACAACTCTAAAACACACAAATACACAGCAGTAACTACATGCTTGCAGGAAAAACATTAGAAAAAGGAGAAATAAATGAAAAATCATTATAGTTAAAAATTATAATGATTAAAATTGCATACATAACAAGTATCAAGTAACTATAATCAAGATTAAGTAAGTTACATATCATTTCTCTTTCAATGATACACATGCATGTAGAATGTATGGAGAATGTATTTCAAATTATTCTTAACTGGTGCACAAGGAAAAAATTATAAACACTTTGTAAAATTGCTTTCTTTGGAACAAAATTTAAAATGTAGCTACAAGTAGGATTCTGAAATTTTATATGTGTCACTAAAGACTATCAAAGAAATTTAAAATCGAGAAGCATTATTTCACTTCACACAATTTTCTCAAAAAGATTTCGGAAAATTTGTGTGTATATATATATATATATATATATATATATGAGAAATTTGTATATCTATATACATATATATATATGTACACACACAGGGAATTTTTTGAGTGCTAACCTGAATAAATGGAAAAGCCTAGTTATTTCTGATGCAGTTCAATTTAAATACATTCAGATTCTTTCAAAACTTACTTTTTTTATTTCAATATACTTCAGGGCTGTCAAAAAGGAAGAAAGAGCATAACCTTCTTCACCAAACATATACCTAAAAAAATAAACACTTAAATAAGAAAACAAAAAATTATAAATAAATACAAGACTTACAAAGTCTTCTAAATGATTTTCTTGTACGAAATTTGATCTCCTTAAATTATTATTACATACAACTCAGATAATGACTGAGTAATTTATTTATGGCACAGCATCTGATTTATTTATGGCACATCCATCCCTAAGGGATGGGATGCCTTTGTGGAGGACGTTTTAAGAGAAACTGGCTTATATACATGTTACACAAGAGGAAAACCACGAAAATGCCCATGCAGCTAGCCCATTTGCCAGGATTCGAATCTTGGGCTGAACTACCAGTATTCGGTGATTTTTATCGGTTGGTTGCTGGTATGCCTACGAATCACATACAAAATAAGCAAACCTATCAAAACGAATGTCAAATTTATGTGGTAATGACTTAATTAATTTTAATAGCATTTTCTCAGAGTTATCTTTCATTTACAAGGGTGAATTTAGATTATGAAAAGTATTTAATTTAAATTTTAAAATGCTGCAATGATCAGCATAGTGGTCAGCAATGCTGGCTACTGTATCAAATGTTAACATATGACTTAAAGCCAAAATGGTGATTTTTTTTTTTTTTTTTTTTTTGTTTTGTTGTTGTTTTAGAAATAAATTACCAATATTTGCTGTTCCATTCATTGATGACTGAGGGATTGTCATCATAATGTAAGACTTCAGTTGTATCATCTTTATTTTCTTCTTATGTTAGCCCATTAATATCTGAAAAATATCATATTCACAACTCTCATTTTTATGAAATTTGGTAGTCGGCTATAAATTATGCCAAGGATTTTAAAAAATATCAGGAGACATCTCCTTTCATGATCTTGCAATGCCCCAGATATCAGATTTAACATATTTTTAAAACTCCTGATAGTCTTACTTTATCATTGATTTTTAAAAGGATGCTTTATATGTGTATTTCAGTGGATGCACAACTGTGATATCCATTGGCTGATTAAACAAATGTACAATTTTAGGGAAAGAGTACAATGGAGATGTTACCATCTACTAAAACTGAAATTTTGATAAGATTAATCAGAGAGTTATGTGAAGAGTGCAATTTACTATTTAAAATGAACTTAGGTCCCTCAAAATCCTTCTCCCTTTTTAACTGCTATAACAACAAAAGAAAACCCTATGATCAATATTCCATCCCAAATAAACAGACTGTAAATCATGAGATGCTGACTTTCTCAATCACTCAAAGGCTGAAAATGTTGTTGTGTTTAATGTCAATACAACCTCAATCAATGTATTATGATTGCCCCTGATGAGATTGCCCAGCCAGCATGTGTTTGTAAGTGACAAACTGGAATCTCAATTACTATAGAGAAAAATCATTTTTACAACACACCTTTTCCCCTTTTTCTTGATTCCTACACTTTGTAAGAAGAATATCTGGATATTGGATGTCCAAATTTCAGATTTTGTACTGTAGTTAAACTGAATTCCCTAGTTTTATTATTTATTTTTACTGCTAACTTACACAATACTTGTATTTGTAATAAATTCAAGATTTTATTAACATAACGATATTAATAAACAAATACTGTACATCAGTATTTTACTTTAACAAAATCTAACAGCCTTGAATAGCATAAATACTTTATTCAAATCCATAAGTATTATCATTGATAGTCAGCTTTTCTAGAATGACAACCTCTACAACAAATGAAAACTGCTTGGAACCATGTCCAGACATCATTAGTAGTGTATGCATGTTTATAAGAAAAATAAAATCTTAGTAATTCAAAGGATTTTTTGCCAGAAGGGTTTTGTAAAATCAAAAGAACAGTGAAAACAAAACCTTAACTAAGAAAGTAAAATTAAATGAGGAAAACAGATTCTTTTTAAATCATAGTTAAAATAGTAAAATTACAAACAAAGCAGTACTATGTAAACTCTTAAGTACTGGAATACAGTTGCTTTATATCACTATCTTAAATTAATACAAAATATGATCACTGATAAATATTTAAAACAAAATTTACATTTAATAAATAAAGTGAATATAATTCCTTATTATCATAACTAGTTAAATTTGGAGAAAAATATGATGTTTAATAAAGGATGAAAAAAGAGGGAACTGAATTCAAAACACAAATATTATGCAGCATATTTGTAGAAATACTGAAAATTGGACTGCAGGCAAAATGGCCAAATGAGGAAATTTCATAATGAGTTGAAAATTTTGCTAATTAAATATTTGTCAGCTTGTTCATCAATTACTGGCAATAATACACAGATCAATTTAAGATACAAAAACAGAATTTATTGCTTTATGGAGACTAATCTATGGCTCCTGTCAAAGCTAATATTTTATCTTATTATAATCGAAATTTGGATGTATGATAATTTTTCAACATTTCAATAAATACAGTAACGAAGTAAATTACATTACTTTGGATTGATGCATAAATTCATGTCATTTTATTTCAGAATTTCAGGCCGGATAGTAGTGATGATGAAAATAAATGTCTGTTTATTTAAATATATTTAGTCATATTAAGTCCCTAAAATGTGTTACGTATTTTTACTTTTTTTAAAAAAAATCCAAAAGAACAGAGTGTGAAGTGGACAAATAGCTTTATTTTTTATGTCTACCCTTATCTGGAAAATTCTCAGCCATACAAAGCTACTATACAGATTTCTGCAATATTTTACAGAAATTTATTGCCCTTATGACAGCCTAAAAAGAGCCAGATCAGTTCCAGGAATGAAATTTTGACACTGATTACTCTCCATGCTTTGGCCATCCATCTTATTTTAATCAGGATCATTTGAGTAATCTGGTTCACCAAACACTTGACAAACCCTCAGCACATTAGCCAAGGGGTTCTCTTCATTGTGCAAGTTGTTTTTTGGTTTTTATCAGGAAATGCTTTTTACTTTTTATCAGGCAATGCTTTTTACTTTTATAGTGATTAGACCACAATTGTACAACACTTGCAATAAATAAATTAAAAAAAAAAAAAAAAAAAAAAAAAAAAAAAAAAAAAATCTGAAATGTTTCAGATTTTAAATTACGTCCAAAGGGGCGTTTTTTAACATTTTGTGTGTTACCTTTCTTTATTAAATATCATGTTCCTCGCACTAAACCATAAGATCCAGTGCAACAGCAATATCGCAAAATAGTTTTAAAACGAGCATATCTTTAGAATTTCCGATACAGAGACTCACGCGCTGGAGATAAAAATGTTTTTTCTGCACAACGTTGCCATTGCTCGCTTTGAAATCCTTGAGTTTGTTAATCAAAAATTTGTCAAAGTTTAAAAAATAGGAAATGGATCATAAAACAAATTTCAAATTTGGGTCTTCCACATGCTCATATTCGTTGGAGGATTACGTTATTCAAATTCGATGACTCTATGTACCGTTGATTTATCACAATACGAGAAATATACATACATTTATGCAGATTTTTCATTATTTAATTTCTTCAAATATAATGCAGGACTCTAACATTTTGTGGCAACAGTTTGAAAAGTGAACCAACATTTATGAGTCCGACGCAAAATGCCAAAACGAAACTAATAGTCCTTCGGGATTCAAATCCCTTTGGACTAAAAAAGTCCATGACATTGGAGTCTTAGATACCACATAGTCTTCCAGAGAGCAAAAATAATGGGTTGCCTTATGTGATTCTATGCTTGTTACTGCAAAATTCTTGGTAACACAAGGCTTTTCTGGTACATGTTGTTATAAAACATGAAAGATAATGTTTCTGTCACAAATTTGTCAAGCAGCTTTTGCAGCTAAGGATTCTTCATACAGCAAATACTATCAGAAAAGGAGTTTCTCACTTGCTTAATACTCCATATTTTACAACAAATGCCACTTACCACGACATAATCACATTCCTCAATACAATTTTAATATATCATGTTACATAACTGTCCATTAATGCCATCACTACTATTTTGAAAAATTAATTGTAAAATAAACAGGCATAAATTTAAGGATCAATCATTAATATTTAATTAAAAATTCAACATGCAAGCATAAATTACATAAAACTTAAATTAGACATAATATATTTAATTAGATACATTATAAAAATAATTTTAAACAATATGTAAAAGGAAATATATATTTAAGGGAAAGTTTATTTTCAAAATAATAACTAGATACTTTAGTGCCAAAATATTTAGATTTTAAAATTCATTATTTCAGATTATATATAAACTAATTATTTTTTTAAAAAATTGTAACTGAAAAATTTAAAAAAAATCATGTATGAGAATGTTTTATTATTAACATACTTCATATCATATAACTGTTCTATTGCATGACATTCTGAGAAAAGTTGTGGCAATCTAGACTGCACAATAACATAACAGAGAAGAGGAATTAACTCATCTGCTCCACTGTAAAAGAGAAACCAAAAATCAACAAAAACCACATAATTTAAGAAGAAAATTTTCAAATCACATACATGGAATTTATTTTGCAAAACATGTTTTATGATGATTTATTGAATTCAATTTAGAGATTTTATCAAGCCTTATTTTTACAGAGTCCATATTTTGAAATGTAAACATTAACAAATATATATTAAGGTAAAATCCTAATTTAGCAATTAGCTGATGAAAAACGACTGTTAAATCCAACTGACAACAATTCTCAATTCAATTTTAAACTTGATATACATTGCAAAATGGTAAAACTTTTATTTATATTTATCTTTCATCCAGCTTTTGCAAATGCTAGTATAACAAAAGATATTACTTACTTTAAAATACATTTAATAAAACTCTGCTTAATTTAAATAATAAAGCATTAATTGCACTGATTTATCAAAATTTGGAAATATATTAAAAGAAACTATCCATGTCAATTTTTTTAAACCAGTTGCTTCAACAAGGAGGAAAAAAAAAAAAAAAAGCCTTAGTATCTCACATTTTATGTTCACTTTGGATCAGATGATTCCTAATTCACTTTTTATTTATCTTCAACATTTGAGGCTTGCAAATCTCAACTTGTGAATCATAATTCACAATATCTTATCACACCCCCTGTTACACACACATATGAATTTAAATCACAACTAAAATAAAATTTAAACAGTAAAATTTGAGGAAGTCAAATGTTTAGACAAACTTGAGAGCTACAGGTTAAAAATTTTTATAATTTATATTTAAATAATAATAATAATGTTAAATGAAGAAATAATTGGTGTTTATTTGATATGTTTCAATAGAAACAAGCATTTACAACAGAATATTGGTAAATCAAGACCGAAATATATTTGAACTTTTAAACAAGTACTGAATCATTTCATGAATAGAAATAAAAAAACAGATGCTTCAATTTTTGTATCATGTAATTTCAGAACATGCTACTCTACAAGAATAAATATCTTGTAGAAAACAAATGCTTAAAATTATAACGAATAAGAAAATTAGTTAAATTTTGATTTCATTTGTGGTAGTTACATATCTGGAGAAGGAAGGGAGAAAGAAGTAGCAAAATGACAGACAAGTTCCTCTGAAACAAAGAATTTTGGGGAGGGAAAAAAATATTAAATGGTAATTTTTAGAAACATTAACAGTATGTACAGATAATTCCAACAAGTATTCTATTAGAGGTAAATTTTTAATAATCTTAATGTTTCATTTCAATTTTCTAAATATACAAATTTGCATTATTGTAAAATTTTATCATGCATATTGTACGAGGGCCATCCAGGAAGTAGATTACGTTTCCGTCTGTGTCCGCTAGGGGCGGGGCTAGCGCGGCCATCTTGGGGTCAGAGCGTTGCGCAGCTCAGTCTGCATCTAGCCGTGCTAGTGAGAGGTTCGTGCTGTGCTCCGTTCAGATACTGTGACGGTTTGAAATGTCTGCGTTAATTGAAAATCCCGCGAGCTGCGAGGTGCGCTCAGTAATAAGGTTTCTGACTGCAAAAAACTGTAAACCGATAGAAATCTATCGGCAGCTTCGTGAAGTGTATGGGGACAACATTATCACTGAAGGTGGAGTGCGTCAGTGGGTCATAAGATTCAAAATGGCCGCACCAATGTTCACGACGAAGATCGAAGTGGGAGACCCAGCATAGTGACCGCCGAACTTCTCGAAAAAGTCGATGCTAAAGTCCGTGAAAATCGAAATTTCACATAACGGAACTTTCTTTGAGTTTTCCACAAATTTCGCGAAGTTTGTTGCACGAAATCATCAGCAAAAGCTTGGTTACCACAAGTTTTGTGCAAATGGATTCCAAAAATCTTGACAGAGGACCACAAAAATCAGCGAATGGCTGCAGCGTGAACTTTTTGGACGTTTACCATAGGATGGTGACTCTTTACTCGATCGCATCGTTACTGGTGACGAAACATGGGTGAAACATGTGAACTGTGAAACGAAATTGCAATCATGCAGTGGGCACACAAGTTCTCCCCCAAAACCCAAGAAATGCATGCAAACAATGTCGCAAGGAAGATGATGGCGACTGTTTTTTGGACAGAAAGGTGTAATTTTGGTGGACTTCCTGGAAAGAGGCACTACAATAAACTCTCAAAGGTATTGCAAACTCTCCAAAACTCAGAAGAGCAATTCAAAACAGCGCAGAGGAATGTTGAGCTCTAAGATCTTGTTGATTCACGACAACGCCCGGCCCCCACACGGCAAATGTCACTCGTAAGTTCTTGAATCTTTTAAGTGGGAGTTGTTTCCTCATCCGCCGTACAGTCCCGACCTGGCACCGAGCGACTTCCACCTATTCCCAGCAATGAAGAAGTGGCTGGCTATGCAGCGTTTTGATGACGACGCACAGCTGCAAGAAGAGGTAACGAAGTGGTTGAAGGCGCAGGCGGCCGAATTTTTCGACGAAGGAATTTCCAAGCTCGTACATCGCTACGATAAATGCCTTAATTTGTATGGTGACTATGTAGAAAAGTAGTATTTGAGTGTGGCTTTCATCTGTATATAATAAAATTTGTTTCCTATACTTTGTTTATTTTTTTATTCCAAAACGTAATCTACTTTCTGGATAGCCCTCGTATATTATACATATCTTTTATTTCCATCTCTCACTTTTAAACAGTAGGTCCTCAATATGAAGCTTTGATTTCAAGTTCTCTGATGTTTAAAACCACAGATGAGCTTAGGTTTTCAGATAATATATGATATACTATTAATGGCTACAACAGAATCACAGATAAATAGGATGAGAGGAAATCAAAAAATAAATAATAATAATAATAAAGATAATTAATGATATATTAGCAACTATGCCAATAAAATTTTTTCATCTAATTAAACTGAATATGCTTATATGCATGATAAATTTTATTGACTAATTAGTAATGGAAAGTATATTATTTTGGTAACTAAGTTGTTTGCTTCTTTGTCCTATTCTTTCTTACTTTTCTTATTCACTACAGAAATATATAAATGAGAGATTAAATATAAAAACACTTATGACATGTAAATTTAATTCTCTGACTGCAAGACTCAGGTTTTTCTAATTTTCCAAGAAACTTTAACTCCTATGTGAGTAAACTGGTTTAAAATTCAGTGTGCTTCTATAGATACAGCTAAGGGTCTAAGCATTTATTTATGTCCTGAGTTACAGTGCTTCAAGAAAATGGTTTAATTTGGTTAGGTTAATTTGCTTACACCAAAGCTTACTAGGGATATTTGCCTAAGGAAAAAAAATGCTTCTGGGAAGGACTTTCTAAGGAAAATGGGCTTGAATCCATATTACACATGAGGAAAACCATGAAAAAGGCCCATGTATATACAGCCCATCTGCCTGGAAGAGAATTCACGCTGGCAACAGTAAACATGATAAAATATTAGTGCACAGTCTCCTTGGTTAAGCCCCATATAAGGTTTGTCATGTCTAAAATCTGAAGAGAATGTTACAAAGGACACAGAGGATAATAAATCTGTGCGTCTGAAGGGCAGGAGGGCACACTGAAGAATTGGACAGCAAGTACAAAATAAGTTCATTTCATAAATCCTAAGGGTTTCAGAGATGGATCAAAGGGCTTGTATCTCATCAATCTACATGCAGCAATTGACAGTCTTGATTTTATCAAGACTACAAACCATTTTAGGATCCTATCAGTCCTAAGTACTGATATGACATCGATCTATATGTAGCAATTTCAACCTATCATTTTAAGATGCAAATCCATAAGTGTAATTATAAATATATCTGATGTTAAAGTTAAATCCATTTAATTTAGAACTTAAGCTAGTATTGAGTTATCTGAGATGAGAATAACTCATTCCTCTCCAAGGAGGGGGAAGAGTACAATTGATAACTATTCACTCAAAAATCATTACAAGTCAATCCAAATATTATAGCATAGCTTTGATTAAGCCCCCTGTTAGAGATATAGGATATTTAAATTCATTTTTTAAATATACATTACTAAAAGTTTGCATCGGTCATATATCTATGCCTATATAGTATATATATATATATATACACACACACACACATAACACATTAAAATAAAAAGTACCCTTCATGATTTTTAAGAATTTAGTTGCAATATCTAAATTTACATTTTGTACAAATGGTAAAGTAAATAAACTGATGGATTAACAAGTTTACTTTGACAAAATCTGAGTAAAAATTTTTTTATGCTTCGTTATATAATTGCACAAATATGCTTCTCAAAAAAGTACTGAGCAGGAGCTGTATTCATATAATTCAAGCTCATTCACATTGCAGTAATGGTGGAAAATTAAAACATGGTATTGCCCCAACTAGCAATCTACTGAATTAGTTAGTTAATCAATTTAGATGGCACCATCTCTTTTTCAGACTATTTTGTTTGCAAAAGCAATGTATATGCTTATCATTTCTTTCACATGCAATTTTTCCATTGAATTTGTGAAGAGTTTTTTTTAAATGATGCCTTAGAACCTTTGTTATTAAATAAATTTATCTCAAATAAATTTCAGGTTTACATTACAGAAAGTTGAAATAAGAAGGAAATGAAATAACTGTCATTTTAAGGAGGAACAGTTTTTAATTTATCTTTCTTAAATTCATTATCTCTCTTATTTTAACATTCTGCTGACAACAAATTGTTTGGAACTAGGTTTTGAAAAACAACTAAATTTAGCAGAGCAAAATCGGGTGTATTTCGTCTTACCTCTTAACTGTTTCATTCGCTATATGTGTGAAATTCTTGATATAATCTATATCTATAACATTTAGGGACTCACTTTTAGTTATATTAATATTGAGTAATTCATTGAAATATTTAAACCAGATAATCTAATTTAAAAAAATATTTCACTCTTTTATTTACACATTAAAAATGTCCTTATACGCAGTACAAAACACAGCAAAAGAAATAAATATTTTGCAAAACAAAAAATTATTAATATTAAATAATTGTAAATCTGATCATGTAAATTTAATAAAATGGAGGAAGAAAAAAATGTGTAAAAACAACAATTTTAGTGGTGTCACATATGGATCCATAAAATAACTACATAGTTGAGTAAGGTAAATTGCCTGTTGGAAGATTACCTAAAACATAACACTCTTGAACAACAGATAAAATCAGGACGAACAGTCAACAATCCGAGCAACAATGACTTCTTAATAAATAAATAAGAAATATCTTTTTCAAAAAGAAAAACCATTCTTTATTTCTGAGCTTAGATTTAAATAACATTTTAAAGAAAATACTGATAGAAGAGGGGAATTCTGATATTCAAATTAAATCTTAAATAATCTTCTAATCATACGAGTCGTGATTTGCCTTTAATTCAAATAATTTGCGCAAAATCTTAAAATCAGAATTAACAAATTAACAGATTGTTCAGGCCATAAACTTGAAAAGATATGAAATATTATATATTTAATTATTAAATATTATATATGCTATTAATTGGCATAAACATTCAAATTAACCTAACTTCTATACATAAAAAAGATAAATTGAACTTACATTTTTTCGGATGATCCTTTCACAGAATCAATCTTACAAATACTTTGAGATATCTGAACTGAAGGAGGGGGAAAAAAATATCTATATATATATTATATCAGTTTAATTACATAATTCATTTGACAGGCAAAATTACCACAAAACATCAATATTAATTCAAAAGTACTCAGAAAAAATAGGCCCATAAGAATCTCTAAGTAAATTCTATAATTTGCATATCAACTTGCATCAAAACAAGATAAGCATTTTTTTAAAAATATGACATATTTTATTGTGATAAAATAAATATCTCAGTGAATTTGAGCTTTCTTTTAAGTTGCACTAAATGCTTTAAGCCATATAAAGCGAAATTTTTTTAACATTTGATTTTTTGGCTCCTTCTGCACTTCCTCTAAAAAATAATAAATAAATAAATAAAAAATAAAAATAAAAAAATAAATAAAAAAAAATAAAAACATTCACAGCTTACTTTTCAGCAACTTTTGCAAAATTATGCTAAATGCAAAATTACTGCATTTAATTGTTAAAAGGAATCTGCTTATTATTTCCTAAGAATACATGATGCATTTGAAATGTACATTAGTAATTTTTGCTAAAAAATTCTACAAAAGGGAAGTCTGAAAAAACTTTACCTAAAATTTTTAATTTTTCAACAAGTGAACAGTATTTCGGTAAACTCTGCAACAGCAAGATAACATCATGGTACATATCAGGGGCAATGAAAAATTTGCTTAAAAATCCAAACTTTGATGGATCGGAAGATCTGTGGATGAACATTGTCACAGACACTTTATACTCCGAAGAAATATTTGAAATTCTGAAAAAAATATTACTATTGTTTTGAGCATATAGAGAATAAGACAATGAGCATATAGAGAAATATAACTGCCACTTAATATGATCATGGTTAATGTTATCTTTTGGATACTGTTATTAAATTACTGAAGTTCCATCCATTTGTATACAAACATATTAATGCTTCATAATTTATTATAATAGGGTTAGCAGTTTATTGTTATCAAAATTTTAATAATTGAAATCTTTTTTTAACAAAAATGAAGTCATTTAACAGGGTGAATTTAATATAAATCAGTCATATGCTAAATGTAATCAATTTTACTCTTTTTTAACAATTTTAAATTATAGGGATGTAATAATTTGAATAGATAAAGTTTATTAGAACTTCCTCTAGCAGGGATGATGTAAAAGAAATTTCAATGAAGAGATACTGAAATGGAATAATGAAGCGTAGAATATTATTCTGATTTATAATTGTGCAGTATGCAATGAAAATTCTTCCTAAAGCATATTGAAACTGCATTACTTCCAACAAATACTTATGTTCCTAATTTAATCTTGTGATCAATTAACTACAGAATTATTACATGACATAATGCATGCAAGATGAATAATGAATCTTTCATAACATGGAACCTATGCTTACAAGAGCAGACAAAGAAGGACAAATTATCCTCTTTGGTTGTATTCTATCTGCTGAATGTATCTGAAACCCCATTTCAGAAAAGACAATAAAGGTAACTTTTTAAATATGATTGACACCTTTTATATGAAATATATGAAGATGATAAAAATGCACCATCTTTACTAAAATGAATTGTGAGAAATTTAAAATTTAGGTGGCTAATAAATGAGTTCCTGAAGCAGCACTAATGATCAAGGAATATGTCTGCCAGTTGCTTGTCCAAATACATGTAAAACATGTATGAGAAACTTTATGAAGATGAAGATAAATGACAATTAAACTAAGAAGGACAAATTGACTAAAAAGTGTAAGTGGTGAGGGGAGTACTATGCATTTGTGGTTAGAAGTAACTGTTTAGGTCAAACATATTTCAGAAACACGAACATAAACAACTAAAACTTTTAGGGTGATAAAACATACAAAAATAAACATTTTTCTTCATAGAATGCATAGTTGCGTGCTAACTGATCAGATGGCTAGAGGGCACTTTCCATTTCCTCACACATGCCATCTTTTGTAACACAAGGGCAGCCTTTTTATTCATAAGCCAAAATATTCTAAGTCACTGATGATGCAATAAGCATAAACCTGACAATTAACTGAGAATATTGTAGAAGTGCAATGTGTCTGGCTTAATAAAAATTCATCACTTCATTCACATAATATGATTTAGTCTGGAGCCAAGGTTTCAACTGAAGTGAGCACAGATAAAGGAAATATCGAAGTAAGAATACAGTCTCTCAGTCAAATGTTATTTGGATGAGTTTAGAAAACCCCAAGATCACTAGAAACATCAGAGAAGCAATAAAGATAAAATAAACTACTTGAAAAATAGAAAAGACAAATATAAAAATAAATGAACACATTGTTTGAACACATGAAACATTTTTCTGATAATTCTGGTGTAGTTGCTTACAAAGTTCTTTTTTATAATTATTTAAATGGCAAAAAGCAAAAGCAAGAATCATTTTTTTCGTATTATAACATCTTTATTATTCTTTGTAGCGCTCTCTAACACCTTATGATTTCAGCCATGACAACACTTTCAGCTAAGCAAAATGTGAAGTGAAAGTAGTAGTTATTGCCTAGTAGATGTAGTTGTAGTTATTATGACCAATAATAATTGTTGCCTACACTGGTTTTAATCCAGCTTGTCCAAAATTTTGTAAATTACATGTAGTTACTGAATTTTTACATATACAATTCCAAACTGTATTACTTCCATAGAAAAACATTAGCATAAGTGAAAGCCTTATTATTCAAAGAAAGATTGAATTTGGTGCAATACATCTCTACGAGAAAGTCAAACTTTGATATAAAAGCATATATTCTGTGTGAAATAGAATCTGGTTATAACTGAAATTTCCTACTCTAATGCTGAGTACACCATTCATCGAGAATTATAATAATTATCCAGCAGTAACTAAACTGTCTTGCACCCAGTTTATTTGACAAAGGGTATTGTGTTACTGCCAATAACTTTTATTCTTCTCCACAACTTCCTGATTATTTGCTTACATGTTGAATAGATATCTACAGAACTCCATGATCCAACAGAAATGTTACACTGTTCAATTTTAAAAGCATAAAATTGAAAAAGAAAAAAAGAGATAAATCTTATTAAAAAAAATAATAATAATTCTAAAACAGCAAGATAAAAAAAGAACCATTTGAGCCTCGAGTACAGAGCATCATCATGTTTGTAAAACTGAAACATGGTAAAGAAGTAATAAAGCCTCATGACTGCATGATGAGCCTCATGATGAGGATGTGCTGACTGAGCTGACCATGAATATTTTATTGAAGCAGCCAAAAAAAGTAAATTATTCAGTTTTCATAAAACATTACATACCTAGCTGCAAAATGGTCTATACATATCAAATCTACATAAAGAATAGCACTTTCCTGCGATTTCATACTTAAAATACATAAAATGATACATGGCTAGAGGGTTAAGTGACACTAAAACTATGGTTTATCATGCAAGAAAAAGTACCAGCTTCATATGTTAACTATAAATTTGTAACAGAAATATTTATAATTAAATTAATATTTAATTCTGCATAGAATATTTATTCTACAGTTTTTTTAATAAGCTTGAAAGTAAGTCTAACTTGAAAGTATAAGAAAAAAATATCAATGGTTTTTATCTCTCAAGACATACATTCTGAAAAGATATTTTAGCAAAAAGCTTTTTTTATTACACATTATTTAAAGAAGTGTTCACAGATAAAAGGTGTGATCAATACATTTTATATTTGCTTGTTTTTATGCTAGTGCGTTATTAATTTGGATATTAATGTCAGATGAAGCATTCAACACACTATTTTAGCTTACACAACTAACAACCAACTTGTTACAGATACCTACCAAAATAAACAAACAAACAAGAAAAAGTAAATTTCTTTCATTCTAGAGTATTCAAATTTATATCATTATCTTTGGCATATTTCATTTTTTAACACTTACTATTGGTCACCATGAATCCAATTTTACCTTTAAATACTTTTAAAGCTAAATCAAAGTATAAAAATTACAAACTAGAATCATAGTTGCAATTGCATCTAGCTACATATACCAGGAAAGCATTTATACATACGTCATCAAAGGTTATTGGCAAGTCTTCAAAACGACATCCATTGCATTGCAAAAAAAAAAAAAAAAAAAAATGTGCCCCCAGCATATGGATTTAGCATTTTATGATCATTTTTTTCTCTAAGTTTTTTACAAAAGTGAAAAGTGAATAAAACAGCAAAAAATATCCATTTGTTAAATACTTCATTGATAATGGCAACACATGCAAATCCCTATCTATCTTAGAGATGACTTCTCCATGAAGTACTTTTTAAATGAAACTGAATCAAATTCATGTTATGCACAGGAGTTACAAAAAACACGCATGGCCTGCCTATTCAAAGGGAAATGAACATGGGTTAAACCATTAATTTTCGCTCAGTTTGTACACCATACTAAACTGGAAACTAATGTACCATATTTGATTACCTAATGGGTAACACCAAGTATGGTTCATTAGTTTTTTTAATCAATACTTTGTGCAAAGAATGCATGGAGAACAGAAATAACCTAGCTTTTTCAGCACTCTCAGGTTGATTTGACGGAGTATATCTAACATTAGAATTAAATTTACATCACAAATGTTATGCTATTTATAAAACACAAAAGAGAATATTTACCTAAAAAGATTTATTAAATTTGGCCAAATTGGCACCAAAAGATAAGTTTCAATAAGATTATAACAAGCTGATTCTGAGTCATCGGGTAAAAATGATTTATAAATTAAATAAAATATTTCTAATGCATTTCCAATAGTATTACTGATTTCTAAAGATAAAGCTTCTAAGGCTTTTTGTAGACACACTATTTTGCTTGATGGTATTCTTTTGGTTTCATTAAATGAATTTTTTAAGACAATTTCTTTAGGATGCTCTTCATAAGAACCAAGACCGCATTCTTCATTAGGACATTGATCTGCAAAAAGGGATTTAAAAAAAGTTAGAATAAAATAATACATGATTCAAAACTACTGCAAGCTTATTAGATTTTTTTTTTTTCTGAATAATCCATATAACTGGTAAATAAACTACAAATATAAATGTGTCAATCTGGTATTTTATAACAAAAAGTAAATTAGATATAAATATTACTTTAATCATGCTGAAATAGTTGAATCTTTCAATTATCATCCTGACAGCTAATTTAACTACCTAAAATACTGCTTGATAGCCACCTTAAAATATATTCTAAAATATTAATTAAGGAGTTTTGAGGTTATTTCTCTAGTAGTCAACACATCAATGACTGGCAATTGATGAAAATATCATTTAAGTATCTTTTTTATGCTTTGTTGGATTTCAGAACACTCTTATTTTTCATTTATGTATTGCCACAAAAATTATTCAGTTAATAACAAAATTTTTCACACAAGTTTTCTTGAAACCAACTTTAAAGCAGACTTTCAACAAATTAAATGATAAAGACTGTTATGTACAACTGTCAATCAATAACAATTATTCAATCTGTAAGGATTCCAGACTATGCAGATTTTTGTATCCTATAAAGATATTTGTATCCTATAAGGATATTTTTGTAACCTATAAAGAATAGGACACAAAATAATGGTAAAGTTGTTGTTCATTATTTCATCAGATGGCATTATTAGTTTTTACTAATTATCATACTCACATATAAATGACTGTGACTTTAATATGAAAACCATTTAAACTGAAGAAATTGGAGAGAATAATAGTGGATTAAATACGACATAAATTAACTCTAATACAGTTTTATTACCAATATTGAGAATTATGATTTAGTCACAATTTTTACTTAATACATGCATTTTTTAAAAAATACCATGCAATTTTTGAAGGAAATCTAACACTCATTATGGCACTTGATATATGTGCCATGATGCTAGTGCATGTTGATTTTAGGTAGTAACAATAATGACAATGGATATGTTGATTTTATGTCAGTGCATATGAAGTACAATGACATTAAATTTAATACTATTATTATTGGTTTCCTGAAAAAGATTTGCTTAGCTTAGAAACATTTACTTTATATAAAATCAAAAGTCATTTATTGTAAAAATGAAGCATTTCTGCATTGAAAACTTCTGCCAATATTCAGGATGATTTCCGAACCCATTACTATAGGACTGAGCTACCTTACAAGAGAAATGTTAATTATTTATCTGTCTTTGTTTTGTAGAGTGAAAAGCTTGTCCTTCAAGAGCTTATTTCAACAAATAAAATTCTAACAGCATGTTAATACAAGTTCTTGGCCTTGCAGCATAAAATGCAAAACTTCCTAATTCAGCTTTGAAGGCTTCTCAAAAATTGCTCAAACCACTTTAGATCTTGTATGAATAAAAAAAACACAGTGTCATACCTCAGGTTGTACATGTATCTCGGGCTATAGGGATGTAAATGCTAATAATAACAGATTTATGGTGAAGCAGTTGCCTAGGACAAATGGATTCTTATTTCAATTAACATGCACGTGATTCATCGAAGTTAACATACACTTTGTATTGATGTAAAGAATCCAATTTCCCTCTATTGTGATGATGGAATCTAACCAGCTGTTAGAATGCAGATGTAGATAACATAGTAAAGAAGCAAAGCCTTCTGTATACTAACAACTGACAGACAGACCAGCCCACTGATGAAACTTATTTTTCAACCTAAGGGTATGCAGTGATCAATTATAATGACAACAAAGCAAGTCTTTCTAAACTCATTCACAATTAACATACGTTGTAAGATTCAAAAGTTCCGGAATGAGTAAATAACGTAGAAGTTTTTTGCAGTTCTCGACTACAAGAACATTTTTGTGTTACTACATTCTTCCCCTTTTCTAAAAGTGGTTTGTCCTAAATCCCGTGGTCGAAAGTTCGTGGCGACAGCGTTTTTTGTAGGCAGGTGCATTTAGTAATCCGCGATAGAAAGAAATGGCATCAGCTGAGCAGAGAATCAATATCAAATTTTGTGTTCGCTTGGAAAAGAGTGCTATGGAGACTTTCCAAATGTTGAATCATGTGTAGAACAAGCAGCAAACAATTTGCCAAATAGCAGAATCAGTTGGGATATCAGAGACCCCATGTCAGCGGATACTGACTAAGGATCTTAATAGGCATAGGGTGTGTCAGCACATCATTCCCACATGCTAAATGTAAACCAAAAGGAAATTCGAATGGAAATGACAGAAGACTTAATCTCGGCTGTTGAGAAAGATCCTTCCCTACTTGGCAGAATTGTTACTGGAGACAATGAAAGCAGTTTTTCTTAGATATTTTGATGTGCTGCAAATAATTGTATGACAGAAAAGCTACATTAGTTTAAGCAGTCAAGCATATAGCCATATTTCAAACCTTTTATATCAGCCAGAACAAACACCAACTGCGACACAATTCATTGAATTAGCAAGGATTTTAAATACTAACTATCAAAATTGAGACAGAAGGTAGGATTAAAGACAACAGATTAGGCATTCAACTGAGTTTTGGCCTCTAATTTGACTCTTTGAAGTTTAGTTTATGGAGCTAAGAAATTGGCTATTACTTTTAAATACGGGCTATTACTTTTGCCATAAAAATAAAGAAGATATTTATTTTACATTCCAAATGGCTTCAAGTGAAAATATCTAACGTGAAAATTTAGTAGAATTAATTCATTAGAATCTTTACATATATTATGGTCAAAGTCCCAAATACAGGACAATTTACCATTACTCTAGGTTTTGTGCAGCCAGTTCTAGCTTTCGCTAACAGGGCCAAAGTTAGAAACTAGCTTTGATTCACTTCAATAACTTTAGAAACTGGAGCTATTAGTGGGGATAAAAGATATGCCAGATTTACTTATGTATTCCCCCTGCCCTTAGCTGCACAAAACTGTGAAAATTTTTTAAAGATTCATGTTATTTTCCTATTCCTCAAGGCATTCAGAAGGTGAACTTCTCTAAATTTCAAAATGGATTCATTCATGTAGTGATTGTTTTCATCTAAGCAATTGATTTGCTCTGGATTTTAGGTGCATGGGCTCTAATTAAGGAAGCAATTATTGTGAAGAGCTTCAGGAAAATGAAGATATCTAATGCTTGTGACAGTTCTGAAGATCACTACATGTGGGAAGACAGATTAAACAGTGACTATGGCAGTCACAATAGCAACAACTTTTATGTTATAGCAAATAATACAGACAGTAGTTCCAGCAGTGTTGAATGATTTTAGGCCTACGGAATATCAGTGAACAATACGAGTGGGCAAGATTCAAAGCAGAAATAAAGCTATATTATTAGATGTTGCAAGGTTAATATTACTATGTATTCTTACTGGAATGTAAGTTTCTTTCAAATAAATAATATTGTGGTAGTTACTGGTAATTTATCCATGAATACTTTTCATTTGCTACTTTTTCACTGAAATCACATTATTCGGAAATTAAAGTACTTGCATAATTTTTTCCTCTCGAATTTAATATGATAAAATTGGTAAAAAGAAAAGAGGGATACCAAGTTAATATGGCATTTGTTTTTTAACGGAGCAAGTTCAAAAGCTACATTTTATCATTAGTACATAATTAGAAACAACTATGAAAATTTTAATAAGGTGCAAAAGTTAAATAAAATGAATAAACGTGGATGCATACATTAGTTTACTTAAAAACTTAAAAAGCATTATAGAAACAGCTTCATATCTATCTTTAGCCAGCTCCTCTGGAACAAACTTAGATCTAGCTATCAAAACCAAAGTATGAAAAATTGAGTTTTGGCCACATTAATTGCTCAATGCTAATAGTTAATGGCCATTTGACCAAGTAGCTAATGTTTAGCTTTGGCTGCAACATGTATAAATAGTAAAATATTTGGGGGAATAAATAAGTGAACTTACTGGGTAAGAGAATTAAATATTCTGAATACTGTTTCAAAAGTGCATCAACTTCTCTTTTAATGTTTGTTTGAACTAGCATAAGCCACTGAGATAATGGATGATCATAGCACCTGAAATTATGCAAGTTTAAAATTATTATAACATCTTATCACTTGTAGAACTCTATTAGTAACTAATAAAATCAGAAGTAATATTCAACAAACTGCATATGTTACTGTATCTTAAAAATATGTATTAATGCATTATAATATAGTGAACTGCCAATAAATGTGATTGTAGTTAACAATATCATTTATAAAGTATCACTGGATTACATAAATATAGTTCTATATAACAATGGTCTCAATCTGGCTGTCCCTGAATACATTTCTCATAAACTAATTAGCATTATTATGACAAGTATTTGAAGACCGATTTATGATTTTAATGATTCACAGTCCAATTTTACATTCAGTTCAATTAAAAATTTATGCCGAAGAAAATCTACAACTGGAGTTAGGAAATTTACACTGTGATTTAAAGATATGAAGATAAGATATGATTAATTTTTTTTTTTCATACTTGCCCAAAGATAAATATCCTCAGTTACAATTTACAATTTTTTTTCCCAATAAGAATATTAGCTTTGTTTGGGAGTATATTTACATGTGTATCTTTGTTTTTCCACAGTTGAAAATTAATGTCTAAAAAAGAGTCAGAGTGATCGATGAAGATCTACAACTGATGATGAACATAGTTTCTATTACAAACTTAAGCAAAATTTAAATGCCATAAGGTGTACCTTAAAGTTGTATTAAGAAATAAAGAAGTGAATAATTACTTACAAACAAAATATATGAATATTTTCGGTATACATCAAAGGAAAATTTAATAATGAAAAGAAAGAGAACAGGCTGTAATTATTATCACATTTTGTCCCACTTGGAAAGCTTTTTTGTAATTTGTTTATTTTAAGATAAAAGTAAGTTATATAATGGTTCATTAGAATTATTTGAGACAAACGTCAGTCTAGAAATTTAATATTTAGCTATTAATATAAGTAACTATCAGAAATTTCTTGCAGACAAAAACCTCAATTTAATCAAAAAGTTTTGTTAAAAAAAAAAAAAAAAAAAACCTTTTTCTGTGGGAAGAGAGGGAAGGAGTTTGGCCCATCAGCTACTTTCGATTATATATTCGGCTCACATGCAATTTGAGTTAGAGATCACTGTTCTGTTAAATTCCAAACACTGCCCATAATGCACAATGCATTTTCTTCCTCTTATCAATCGATTAATAAAAATTCTTATCTACTTTAGCAAGAAGATATTTTTCTCTGTAAGAGAATCAATTTATTTATTGTTTGTATTGGAAAGAATAAGCAAACCAGTCTAATTAGTCTGACTTTGATTAGCTAAAAATAAAAGGAGAAGGGGATTCAAGTAATCAAAAATTTAAGTTGATGAAATTTTCAACAAACTATATTTGATATCATTTAGAGTTCTACTGAGGTAAGAAAACTTTGAAAAAATCAAGAGAAAAATTATTGCATATGTTAATGATAAAAATTTATATAAACACTGTTCAACAATGAACTTGAAACATCAGAAGAAAAGGTAATAGAAATATGAAATCTACAAGATGAATAAACATGTTTATCTTACAAAATAATCAAAAATTGGAAATAAAGTCCTCAAATCATCCTTGCTATGGAATATGACTGCTATGCTCCTACCATTAGCTATGCTCAGCATTTTAGCATGTCATAAATGAAATCAATAAGCATTGTCTGAGAAATGTTTTGATGTGATGTAAGTACTTGAGAATGTACAATTATTAAGACTGCAATAACTGATTGATGATATTGCAGATGTGCTGGATGGAAAAAAAAAGTTCACTGATATAGCAGACTATAATAGCATATCAAGTCCACATAGACTTATTCACAGTAGTATAAGCAACATTCAGTCTAGCACTCTGGTGTTGAGAAACAGACAGTATTTTACAGAGCTAAGTGTATTACCAGCTTTTTGCTTAAATTAGCATGATGCTGAGCTGTATATCTATCAGGAAGTATGCCTAAAGAGGTCGGCCTAGATACATTCTGTACTATTATTCCAGATGCAAGGCCAAGATGATATTGTCTCATGATGGCTTGCTAAAATTGGCTGGATGAATTTCTGACCATCAAAGTATCTACAGGGTTCGTACACATTTTTGCACAAGGAAATTAAGTACTTTTAAGGACCATTAATGAAAAAAATTAAGGACGTATTAGCAAATGGAAACTGAATAAATTCAATTAAAATATTATATCTATGCCTAAACGAGAGTAGGATGCATTATTATTAAACATAACTTAATTAACATAATTATTAATATGTTTGAGAATAAAATTAATTTTATGAAATTTATCAAGTAGCATTAAATAGTATTTTACACTCATAATAACTGGACATATTTGAAAGAAGATAAGTGACATTTTAGTTACGTTTTACTAACAGTAAGCTTTTTTGTTTTTAATGTCTCATTTTGTCACATACTTGCTCAGTCTAGAGGTTTAGTAAATAGTAAGTAGATTTTATGTCAAGCAGCATAGGCTAAAATGAGCATTAAAATCATAATCAGCATGATTTATAACAAAAGACTGGCTGTTGTCACCACTCCTGCTTGCTTATAGAGAGGCCTTCTGATCAGAACAAACCTGAAAGGCCTGATGTAGGTACAGTTAGCAAGTTTTGAAAGTTAGCTGACCTCTGTCTGACGCTGTTAGTGTCGTAGCTTCGTGAAGAATACCAGGGGTTGTAACTCAGATAAGGTTCTATTAAACCACTAAAGCATTAGCGGTGATAAGTTGTTTTGCATTAAGTCTCACTAGACGCAAAGAATAAGTTTCACATGAACTTTTATATTTTTGTGTTTTACCTTGTGATTACGGTAACACACTGAGCTCGGCGCCGAATTTTCTATCCTTTCCGTTCAGCCAGCGGCAATATTGAGATCAAGCGGTGCAATATTGCCAACTTAAATTATTCATAAATTATACAAAAAGGAAGGAGACGCACATAAAGCCTGAAAGTATTGTTCGAAATGTATGATGACAATTCAAAACTATTTGGATGCAAGATAGCCAAAAATGTTACCAAAATAGTTGTTTCGTATTGTAATATGTGTAAAGCAAAGCCATATTTTTGTTTAGAATGTTTTAATAAATTTCATTAAAACTAGATTTGATCACATTTCATTGAGCCTACACTTATTTTTTAACTTTAATACTGTCGGTCTAGCGTTCCCCAGAAAAATGGGGAAAATTCTTACCATGAAAAAATTAAAAAGACATTTTTAATTAATTACACAGCTATTTTGCTTTTGCTAAAAACTGTTTTGTAAACTGTGCTTTATAGCATTATTCCTTGCTTATTTTTCAGATTCAAAAAATTGTATAATGTGGCCAAAATGGAATTTTTTAACATAAAACGCTTTATTTTAATGTTATTTCTTAAATATAATTCCAATATATTACCATTATTTTAATGAAATTTATCAATGTTAGAATGTTCTAAAAAAATCGTTAAAAAATTCCCAGATCTCAGAATTAAATTTTTTCTATAGAAATCGATTTTAAAATCGCCAAAATGTTGATAATCGCCAAATTTAGAACCGTTTAATAAAAGAATTCACATCCCCAAAAGCAGAAAGTTGTTTAAGAGCTCTTCATTACAAAAAATGAAATAATTTTGAAATGCTTATGTTTCACTTCTTGCTCAGAAACTCGAGTATCCCACTATTATTGATATTACAAAGAGGAACAAATTATAACCCATGAACCCATTCAAAAAATAGCCATATTTGTCAGTGAATCACCAAAAATATTTCTGAAAAATGCTAATTCACACTCAAAATGGCAGTCGTAAAAACAGACAGAAATTTCAGATGATTAAAATTAAGGACCTTCTGCCAATTTTGGCCAAAATTAAGGACTTTTAAGGACCAAAAATCAATTCCAAAAAAACTTTTAAGGACTCTTAAGGACGAACCCTGTATCTAAAACAAATACAAGATTCATTGCTTAAAAGGGCAGTCCTCCCTTCTAACCCTGGCCTATTGGCACATACCAAGATGACCCTTGATAAACATGGCTTATTGCTCCTAATGCAATACTAAGCAAGAATTTTAACAGTTTTTATAGACACTGCTCGAATTACTGAATTTAATATATGACATCCAAGTCATTCAGTTATGAACACAGGTGCTATTCTTCTATTCTGACAATTCATCTAAAATGAAATTCACTCTGGCTATCAGCTATTATCATGACTTCATTGCTGTTCTCACAACCACTAAAACACACAATGATGAACAATGCAGTTCAACTTCATGTGTAGCAATCTGCCAAAATGATAAACCAATATCGCTGCTTTAGGTGATGATAAATGGTATACTGATGAACTTGAGGCATTGCATTATCATAGGATAAGACTTAAATTTCAAGCACCCTCCCCAACAAAATTTAAAACATCTGATTTTATACAATTTAAACATAACTTTATGGGTTTTCCTTCTTCATGTTGCAATTTCAATGTTGAATGCCATGTTTACATAGAATTAAAATTACAAAATTAAACTTTTATCATTAATTTACACTAGAAAAATCTCATGATCATAATGGCATGAAATATGATTAATACTCTGATATAATTCTGATGGAGAATTAGATAACATATATTTAGTTAAAACTGACACATTCCTTCTCTGCCAATATTTCTTTTTAGATGCAGAGATATTACATGAAAATATTAATGAAAGGACTGAAGTAAAATAATATTACTTTCTGAGAACTGTTGTGCTTATATATATTTCTTCACTAATAACTAAAAATTCAGTATGATTAGCAAGATATTTTGATGTAGAAAAATGAGCATGGTTCATGGAACATAAAATAATTTTGGTAAGCTGTTTGTTTATGAAATATATTATTCCTAAAACCTTTACCAATAGTACTCAGAGGTAGTTTCCAAGCTTCATATATAATTCTATGTAATGAGAATAAATAAATTTCACTCTGTGCAGCATCTGTAAGCTATTTCTATTCAAGGAAGGTCTTTAGTCTGACACAATATCACTCATATACATAATTAAATTAACATATAAAAATGGGCTAACAGAAGCAAGTTAAAATGGATTTAATCAGCCATATCAATACTGGATAGTCTTTTAGCCTGAATACTTCAGGCCAAAACTTTATCAGTTTTTTCTGTTACTGCTGAAGTAAAACAGCAAAAATAATTTCTTTGTATACGACAAACTTAGTTTGCTCAGACTAAAAATTTGACTTCTCATAGAATCTTATATAGTCTAAAAGTTTTAAAATTATGTAATAATTGAATAATATATTAGTTCGAAAACAAAATTTGAAAATAATTTTGACTTTACAGATTTACTGTTTACAAAGTCAACATTTCACAAATCCAGAATTCCAGTTATATCTGGACTATAATCCTCCTTACAATTCTATAAAGTATATTTGGGACATGACTCCTATGGTCAGAATATATCAAATTTTAATTAAGAAAGAAAATGGGGAAGAAAATTTCAGCATTGTTTGAAAAATTTTGGCTAGTCGAACATTTAAAACTAAAAAAAAAAAAAAAAGAAGAGAGAATTATTAAAAAATACAGGTATTAATTTTTAATAATTTATTCCAGCAGGCATAGATGTAAATTGTCTTTCATAGGTGGAAACAGTGGCCCACTTCATTAGATGGCTTCATAATAAAGAGACCATCAGTTCCAGTCTTAACAGTGGCCAATGCTCATAATGGCTAGTGCCTACCATTGGGAAAAAGAATTTGCTGGCAAGCATGTATCTGATTTATTGAAAATTTCAGAGCTTAAATGCAGATGAAAATGACAACATATATGAGTGACTCTTTACAAATACATACATTATATAGATATTTACATACTTTTCTATTCTTTTAAATAGAACTACTACTATACAGGAAAATGTAGGTTTTCCCTTATAAAGAAAAATTTGATAAAGTGACCAAGATGGGGAAAAAGAACATGAAAGTGCAAAGAAAGACTTCTTGGCCATTTTTGTGCAGCATGTTGAAATATTGAGAAGAAATTAATAATGTTTCAAAGAAGAATATAAATTTTGATCGAAAAAAGAATTGTTCCAGGGAAGAAGGAGAACTTGAATGAGCATAATGCTGAAATTGGAATAATGTGTCACAAAGCAAAAGTCTAAGCTAAAAAAGTAAATAAAGATGACTACGTTGTACACCTAGTCAGAAAATATTTAGACATTTAAAATGCGGCTGCTACTGAGTTCAAAACAGCTAAGTACCATGTTAAATTTTTGTGCTGCATAAATATGACTGACGTAAAAGAAAACATGGTAATTATGAATAAAAGTAAAGATCCACATTGTTTTATAGGCAACAAGAAACTCCAACACACAGCATGAATGAAAACAGTAATTTTCAATAATCAATTAAATGAACTATGCTATTTGTCATTTTCTAAATACGCATATGTCCTGCTCATCAACACCAATTATGTTTCTCTGCCTATCAAAATGATAACTAATGATGACTAAAAATGTTTTACTACTTATCTAAACTACTTTGTTAACTTTCCATAGAGCCAAGCCATATCTTATTGTTCAAAAATATTTGTCACGATACATTTAAGTACACAACCATATGTCTTGAAATATGTCCAAACAAATAAGCTAGAATAAATATTGGAAGAAAATGTAACAATGTATAAAGGGTCATTTTAGAATTACAATCAAGAAAATACCATTTACTCATGGTCTTTTATGGCATTTGGTGGTCCAACCCTTGGTTGCTTATACTAAAACAAATAAAGTATATATATATTTTTTTATCTGCTTGACAACACAAATTTATCAATTCAATCTTGTACACATGAAATTATCTTAATTGATTAGTAAAAATAAATTACTTCCAAAAGGAAATCAGACCTGTCAAATCAACAGAAGCAATGGAATATCTTACAGCCAGCAAATGATACAGCAATGCCAGAATAATAGCCCCCCCCCAAATGCAAATATCTTTTGATTTCTAGAATAAGTGTAAATCTTTATTGATCAAATCATTTCTGATTTTTATACCTGGATATCAATCAATGATCACACTGCTGTGGTTGAAGAGATGCTTGATGATAAGCAAGATGCTGCCATTTGAGCATACCAAATTCAACCTTTGTAGTGCTAAATATGAGCAATAATGAGGATGTGGAATAAATATGAATTTGAGGCATTTCACTGTTCCTATCATTTACTATATACCCCTTGCATGATATGAAGCAAAAATGAAAATCCTGCTTCTAGAATTGATACTATACATGTATTGCCTGAGTGCATGTAATATTTTTCAAAATTAATCATCGCTACTTCAAGGAAAAATTCAGTCATTTAGGAACTCAAAAATTCTATTACTGATCACTGCTTTATCAGAGATTACTGCTTCACTCAGAGGAAATATTCATATCTAGTAAAATACCTATTAGTCAACAAAGTTAAATAATAAAATGAAACTAAACTCATTTGCTCCTGACAGTTGTAGTTACTAAAAACTGCTGCAAATAATTTTTTATTTCGATTGATTTAATGATGTTATGTAGTAGGAAACTTTACATATAATGCTTGTTATTGCATAAATGTAACACTAAAAAACAAAGATAATTGATAAAAGTTTACATCTCACACTGTTATTTTTTGCATACATTTCTGCAAATCGCTTACATAATCAAGTAATTCAGTATTAGCATACATTTCGAATCTCTCAAAAAAATAAAGACGGATAGAACTGCATAATAATTAGTGAAATATACCACAGTAATTTGAAATAAATTAAAAAATTACACACTATACTAAATTATCACTCAAATAATGAATTACATAACAGTTAAACACATGGCTTAGGTGAACATACTATGCTTTAATTTATTATCTTACAATTCAGAAATAAATAATTTTAAATAGTAAACTTATTCTAAAGAGAATTCTATGTAACTGAAAGTAAACATAACTATTTAAAAAACAAAATTGTACCTAATAGTTTTCTGAAATAGCTTTTGTGCTGCTTCTGAAACAGATGTTTCATAAGAATTCAATTTCCAGGAGCACGGCCATGTCTATGAAATCATATCATTAACAGCAACAATAACTATTTATAGTTAGGTGAAATATAATGTATAAAAAATACTGATTAACATAGGTAGCAGTGCAGTTGTAGACATAATTTAAAAATAACACCTTTAGTAACAGAACTTATTTATTATTCCAAATAATTTAAACATAGCCTAGTTCTTAACACCTACGCACAATATACATTACAAATCATTCTGAGGATGACAGGTTTAAATATGATGAATTTTAATATTATGAATACTTAAAAAACTTAAAAAGACTAGGCAGCAATTATATATCAAAGTAGGATATCTAATATCAGCTACAAAATTACTAAAAACTTTTGGGGAAAAAAAAATTCTTCTAGGCTTTATAAACTTATAAATGACTGACTTATGATGACTGACAAAGTTAACAAATTTTAAAACAAAATTAATTAGTAAATTTTCTGAATTTTTACAATAATGACACACACACAAAATGAAATCAACAATGAAAGCAGCAATGCTGATGATACAAAAACAACATATATAATGTTTAATACTTAATAGTCCTTATATTATTAAGCATAGATAAAAAAAAAAATCCTTCAAAAAAGATCATAAAAAGTTATTTTATATCTACAAGTTGCAGCACTGCTTTGTGTAATCTTAACTTATAATGTAATCTTTTACTTATTCATACAGGTCTACATAGGATTTACACATGTACAAATCAAGTATCACATATCAAAATTATGCAGATTACAGCACAATATACATAAACAAAATTGAAAACACAATCCAAAATCAAAATCTATGAAATCAATGAAACAAAAACCATATTTGTGGATAATTTATTATTTTTTAATAATATGAAAATCATCTCTTGGGAGTATTCTTCTCAAGTTATAATAACATAGGAGGAGAAGAATGGATAAATACACCTGTTAGAAGTTTGTAAAACTGTTGTGTTATAAAAAACACAGACTTAATTTTAAAAAAATCAAAATTAGACTAATTTTTTATAAATTGTGCTTATTAAAAACACCTATTATTATTCAAAAGCATTACATGGGATTTTCAAGAACGGCAAATATATTTTATTTCCTTAAGTACCGTTTCTAGGCATAAAATATATCACATAATTTAAAAAAAAGTGCAGAGTTTTACATACATAAAAGTATTCTCAATAATGTGCTTATTGTAGAGAGAGGACCCAAAATGTAAAACTGAAATTTGTACATGTGATTTTTAATCTTCTGATATGTATAATCCTAAAGAAAAAAAAAAATATATAAAACATCATAATGTATAATCCGCGATGTTAACACAAGCAGCAAATAAACATTCATACAGGTCTACATAGGATTTACACATGTATAAATCAAGTATCACATACAAATATTCTCCCATTATTCTAATGCTATTAAATAATGTTTTCATTTTCAATGAATAGAAAAATACCCTCCCTCCACCAGCCTTATTTCTCACTTTAATATGGCACATAAAAGAAATAATATTATGAAAGTTACCTCATTTTTTGCATACTGTACAACACAAGTATATAATTCTTTTTTTTCTTTATCTTTTTCACTTAAATATTCATCATTTTCAAATAATTTCCTGAAAAGAAAGCTGTTATACTGCTTTGTACATAATTGATTTTGTTTTGTTAAAAAAAAAATTACAAAATACTGTAATGTAAAAAATTTGTGAATTCAAAGATTAATCTTTTACAGGAAAAATGACATGACAAAAAGAAATGTGGAATTAGAATATTTCATACCTTATTGCATTTTCCATCATCTGCACTCTTTCCTTCTGCAATTGTTTAACAGCCAGTTTGTCACAGATTAAGGAAACATAAATTTAAAAGGATTTCATACATATCACTATGAACAACTAGGGAAAAATAATAAATGGTTTAAATATAGTGGTATCTCACACACTGAAGGTAAATACAGTATTAACATTATTTTATCTTCCATTTTAATGATATGTAAATACAGAAAATTATCCATCAGTAAATATAAATGGAAAGAAGTACATAAATAAATATAAAAGGGGGGCTAATAAATATATTTCTCAATATTATATTACTACTGAAGTGCTGTAAGCCCTCATTACTTAGATGAGGAAGCCTAGCAGATTCCCCCCCTCCCCCGGGTGACAAGGAGAACAAAATGGTCTGTACCCATTGCAACAGTGAAAAACTTTCTGAAGAAATGAAAACTACAATGATTTCACACTTTTAAAAGGAAGTATTTTAGAAATGGGAAGATATCCAGGTCACAACCAAGCAGTGCCATCCTAATAAGTCAAGAAGAAAAAATTTTAACATCCTCAATGACACTTTCATACAATACTTCAGACCATCCTAAAAACAGACTACTTTTAACTCCCTTGAGTGGCACAGAATTTTAGATCTGCTCATGAAGACCCATATTTAGATAGCTTGTATTAACAAAACTTTAATAATTACTTATTTAGCCTGTTTTCATAAACTTCCATTTATTAAGATGATATTTACATTACTAAAAATAGCAAGAAGGGAAATTATTTTTAATTACAATCTAACACAGTACATAGTTCAAGATCCAAATTCGTTGAAACTACAGCAACTCCGGATTTGGGATTTTTTCCGGATATTAGATTCTCAGTTTAAATCTAGTTACATGAAGCATAGAAATTACAAAATTAAAAATATGAAATAGTGGTTAAATAATAAAGCCTTTAGGTCTTTACAACATTTTTGAAATTTCTAGATTTTAGATCATCAGTTTAAATCTAGTAAGATGACATGTTTCTTTAAGACAGATATTTTTTGTATAAATAAAAATTTTTTTCTGAATCATAACCACATGAAATTAAAAGGTATCTTAAAGTTAAAATGGCGATATTTTCAGAATTAAAAACTATACTGTTGATATTTACTGCTCCATTGGATGATGACTGATGCATGGTCATTGCAATGTACGACTTAAGATATATCCTCTTCATTTAGCATTTCTTCATTTAGCATTTGATAGTCCAATAATCAGAAAATTAGGCCTTGTGATATTTGAAATGCTTCAGTTTTGCAGTTGTCATCAACATTACGAAATATGATAGCTGGTTATAAATTATACCAGGAATTTAAAAAAAAAAATATTTGCAGACAGAACCAATATTTTTGTTGCACATCACTGAAACGAAAGTCATCAAATGTAATGTGTTCTGAACTAGAAATGTAAGTTAATTCTTTTAATGCATTCCAGTTACTAGTTTCAACACACACGCAGATATAAAATGACAAGGCCTCATCTTTTAAAAATTGTAAAAATATAAGTTATTTTTCTTTTGTTAAAACTACTCTAAGCATTACATCTTTATTTTCAAAAAATGCAAAATACTTATCCATGGGAAAATCCTTTGCTGGACTATATACTGGAGATTTATCTTTACCTACAGAAACAATTTAAAATATTTTGTGGGACATATATTATTAGTCTGCATTTAAAATTTTGTAAAAAATCAAAGCAAATTTCTTAACTCAAGCATGTAAAAACAGCATAAAAACATTACAAATTGTGTTTTCAGGAACAACATTAAAACTATTCAATGGAACAACATTAAACAACATTAAAACTATTCAATTATAAATTCAAAATTATGTATAACAAATCCTGAATTATTATGCTTTTCGAATTATGAAATCAATCCTAATTTTGAAGGCCTAATCTTATGATTTCACCACATTAATTCCGAAGCAGTAATTTTAAGTCCAAATGCAATGAGCAACACTAATTTTGGCACAGCACAATTTTTGCTCCCAATGGTGAAAACAAATCTGATTTAATTCACTCAATCATATTTTTTGATAATTATAACAACAATGTTGAAAATCTGAAGCAAATAATTTCACACCACACTTCACTATAACCTTGACCTGGAGCAGAATCACTCTTTCCCCTTTAAACTGCTCAATTCGAGCTACCAGTCGCAAAATGGTTCATATCCTGTTGGCTCTTTAATTGTGATATTTTACTTAGAGATGACTTGAAGAGAGAAGGCTCCAATCATTTTACAGTCATGGACAACATGTTCAGAGATGTTGCTGGTATATAAATACGGTACATACCATATGGACAGAATTCTGAAAACACAAATGGTGGCATATTCACCACACACACACATATATATATAACATGTTTAGAGATGTTACTGGCATACAAATGTGGTGCATAACATATGGATGGAATTCTGAAAACACAAATGGTTGAATATTCATCACACACACATATATAATATAATAATTGTACTTTTTGGTGGAAGATGAAAACGATTCACTTTCAGTCATGGCCGGTATGACGTAGTCGATAATCGCATGGAATTTGTAGAAGCACGACCAGCTTGATAGTTAAACATCATTTATTCTTGAATGACGAATTTAATACATAACTGTAGAAGACTAGGGGTGCTAAACGCGCCCCATACTTTAATATATGCAATTACATTTTATATATAATGACAAATAGCTAGCAGAGGCTGAGCGAAAAGCTGTCAGAATACATGAGAAGAAGTAAAAGAGAGAGAAACTACACAGTTATTAATTATTTATACAAGATAGGTGCACAAAGTACAGCTAAACTGTGATTGGTTAAATTTTTAGTTCCATTTACATCATCAGAATTAGATTTTTCTGGAAATGACGCAGTGCAAAGAGAGGTTACTATTTTTTTAATTGAGAAAGGAAATTAACATTGCTAATTTATTCTTTTACATATTCCTTATTTTTCTTACATATGTACATATATATACACACACAATATATATATATATAATAAAAATTTAAAGCAACTTAAAGAGAGTTTAATTTTAATTTAAAGCAAGTTTAATTCAATTTTTAAAATTCAAATTTAATTTTGCATCACAGCAAGGCAATTCCCCAACAATATTAATTAATTGCAACCGCGGATAAGAGGTTTAACATTGTATCAAAACATATCAAAATTAAAGTAAGAATTCATCAGTAGAGCAAACTCGAAAAATAATAATGTGAAAAGAAAAAAATGTATAAAATTATAAAAATTAATCGCCTTTTACTGAAACTCTAATTCAGAACTCATCAGGGGAAATGAGTTAAAGATTAAAATGTTTTGTAAACATGTTTCATTCTTCTGGTTCATTTGCGATAAAAAAAAAGATTCAATTAAATTTAAAATGAAGACATTAAAATTCATTTAAAAGCGAAAAATCGAATCTCAAGTGTATCCAGAATTTTCCCTACATGCTTTCAAAACACTTGGAAAAAAGAATTAAGAAAAAGAAAAACATTGTGCCAAATTGACTATTCAAAAGAACAATAAAGTTTTACTTTATGCACTTGGAAAAAAGAAGAAAACATAACATTGTGCCAAATTGACTACTCAAAAAAACAATAAAACTTCACATTCTGCAAATTGACCATTCAAAAACAATTACAAATTAAAGAGCAAAACAAATATAAAATCAAACTCTCATTTAAACAACACTCAAAAATTGGGTGGTCCCCGATTATGCGATCCTAAGCCTTTAATACCGAAAAAAAAAAAAAAAAACTTTACAGAAGAGATTTTTATAAATAATATAAAATCTAATCTCATCCTTAAACAGCTAAAAACTGAAAACCTATTTGAAACAAAAATTGAACAAAAGGTAAACTTACTGAATTCTTAAGACAACCATATTTTTCCAAACGTTGTTCCTTGTAAAAGAAAGGTGAATTCAAGACTACTCTGCAGAAGCAAAAATTTGTAATTCTTGGAAAAAGTATGCAATAAGATTCAAAGTGTCCAATAGCAGAACAAAGTATTTTAATGCGTGTTTAAAATGTCTTATCCTGATAATCTTTGTGTATGGGGGTGCAAAATGTTGGGTGCGGCCTGTAAAAATGATTATCGAGAAAGGAAGATGATTGTCAACTCCAACACGGTGGCTGAAGAAACTTCTAAAAGTTGCTGTTCTCTGAAATATCTTAAAATGCAAAAACAAAACTGACTTAAAGTTGAGGAAAAGGAAAATTACAGGTTTTGAAAAATTAAAGTCTTCGAATAATCAGGATACAACACATCTTTCAAACTAGAAATCCCATTTTTTTTAGTAAAAGCAAAATTTGCCAGTTTTAAATTTACAAAATATAGTACCAAAGTCTTTAATCCAGCCTCGTCGGGACTTCAGCGATCCGGATTATAGATCATCATTTAATCTGGTAAGATTGCATACAGAAATTACAAATTAAAAATATGAAACTGTAATTTATGAAATAAAGAGCAATTATGATCTAAAGGGTATCAAAATTTACAAAAAAAAAAGCTTAATATTTATTTGTTTACTGTGTTTAAACATTTCTTTCAATGTAAGTTGTTTAAGTTGGTTTGTTTTTGTGCCAATACTTTCTTTTTAATTCTATAAACAGACATAATTTCTTGTTCAGTTCACTGTTCGAGTCCTGTAATTGTGTTGAGAATACCGACTAACACGCCGAATAAATACTAATTCAGAAGTCAAACAACAAAAATCAGCGTTATATTTTCAAAATTTTCACAGGACTAGTTTCGATGGTAAACCATTCAATAACCCTTCTCTGTCACTTTCAATTCACTACTCAAAGCGGTAATCGAAACATGCTTTCACTTTGTAGATCCTTTGGCAGCTCCAGAATGGAACTCTTTTGACATATCGAAAGTTCAAGCTTACTTTTTATAAATTGCTCTAACAGTCAGCAAAAAATAATAAGCCGGATCCAATTAGAAGATTAAGGAACAATGCAATCTGTAACATTAACTGAAATAGATAATTAGATAATTTTAGCTTAGCTT